TACTATTAATTTTCTTTCCTCCAGAGTTCCTTGTGAGTTTTAGACCAGTTCAATTAGAGTTCTAACTGAGTTACAATCGAACATTTGAAACCTACTCAAAATCTCCAAAGAAAATACCAAATGTTAACTGTAGTACTTCGAAACTAAGAAAATAGTGCATCATTCCCAGATAGGTCATCTTGAATTTTGCCATTATTAATTTTTTAAAATCTTCAAACATTATTGGATCATTTTCTGTGTAGATCAAGTCATCTGCATATAAAAAACAATCAAAATTCTCTTTGCGTCACAAAGTTTAATAAAATGAGTGTGCTTATATGGGCATTTGTGAAATCCTACATTATCAAAATAAGAATTTGTATGATTGTACCCAGCTCGGGGTACTTGTTTCAACTCATATAAAGTCTTATTCAATCTGTATAACTTCTTTTTCACATAACCAGGAGGCATATCGATAAAAACTTATTCATTTAAATTATCAAAGGTTGATTTCACGTCCAATTACAAAATAGACTAGGAAATTTGTGTTGCTAAAGCCATCACCATTCGAATTGTATCATACTTAGCAAACGGAGCAAAAACTTCCTTATTGTCAATGTTATATTCTTGCTAGTATCCTTTTGCGACGAGCCAAGCTTTATACTCATCAACTTTTTCATATTTGTTCAACTTAGTTTTATAAACCCATTTGACACCAATAGATTTTTTCCATTTTAGAAGTTTTGTTAATTCTCATATGTTGTTTTTCTCAATTGACTTGATCTTGTTGTCCATTGCTTTTTGTCATCTTGTATCTTTAACAGCTTTTTGAAATATTATTGGATCACATTAATGGTAATAAACCATAATGAGCAAGAGTATCATAAGATTGAACACTACTAACCTCATAATCATCCGTTCATGCTAGTTTCTTTATGATTCATTGAGATCGTGAGCTTTCACCTACTGTTTGGGTCTCAGTATTATTAAGTGGCTGCTGCTGCAGCTAGTGAATATTAGAGAATTGTTTGCCCTTGCATTTTTGCTTCTTTTTTTTCTTCAAAATTCACATGTATTTGTTGCTCACCTGTATATTTTTCAGTCTAGTTTCATGTATTTTCTTCATAAAAAACAATATCTCAGCTGATAACAATTTGCTCATGCACATTTTCGACTTGCTAAATCATGGTATGATCTATGATTACGATCGTATCGAGCATCGTAGTCCTATAAGATATTCTATAGTCACAATAATATTTAGTCAAAGGTA